CGTAGCATTTTTTTATGTTTCAAGTGCGGACCCTAATGGTTTATAATAGGCAGCAGAGTAAGTTGTCATTATACTTGTAATTGTCAATTGGCAATCTCATGTTTTTAACATACGACATATTTCTCTGAACATGCAGCCCGATATCATTCACTGAGAAAAGAGTTGGAGAAGCCAAAACCTCGAGATAAGCTCAGATCATCTACAGGTTCAATGCCAACATGGCATGCACTAGACTTTGGAAGGCTGAAGCTCAACTGTATTAGTACATCTTGTGAGACAAGAGCTGCTGGATCATATCGCTCCTCCAATCAGACTCCTACAGAATTGTAAGCGCTCTTTGTTTTGCGTCTAGTGCTTGGTAGTCTAGTCATCATCATCATCCCTATTGGGTTGACATTTTTCCATTTTCAAACTAGGATGAATGTCAGGTAACACCATATGAAAGGGATGTTAACATTTTAGTGACCATTTCATCAGCATCTTTGTTTGTCTGACCAATAATCTAAGGATGATGCTCGATAATTAATTTAGTCTATTGACTTCATGTTACTTATCCCTTCATGTACTGATATCCACCTGCGATTAAGGTGGTGATGATGAGCATGATGTTACTCAGACTTCCCCTCTAACTGGTTTCAACGGAAATAATATATGCTCATGTTATTTGGTTCTGGCATGTATGTAAAACAACATACGGAGTATCATTTCATCATTTTCATTTACCCCAGTGCCGCAAAGACTCCCACCTACGGTTGGGTGGGGCCTGCCTGGCATCAAAGTGATGCGTCCGATCCCCTCCATCTGACGGCTCCCTTGCGCCGGGCAGACAGGCACCTCTGCTGGTAAAGGGTCTCTACATAAGTCTCTAGTTTCTACATTCTAGTTGTATGTTTGTCACACTAATTCTCAATTCTTTTTTAAAAAAAAATAAAAGTTTTTTTTTTGAAAAAGTGTATTGAGTAGTTTTTGAGTTTTTTTTTTTAACTTTTAACATTAATAATTAGTCACAACTTATTGTACCAAACATAACTAAATCAAATAGTTGTTTTTTATCAATAGTTATAATTTTTTGTCTTTTAAGAACTTTTCCTGTCACTAAAAGCTGATTCCCTGATCGTTATTAAGCTCATAAAAATATTTCTTCGGTTGTGCAAGCATTCCATTAAAAATTGTGATTAATCATGTCTTTAAAATGTGGAGTAAATTGGTCGAAGTCCAAACTTGCGAATTGTTATCACTTATCACTCATCTGCTATCAAATCAAATGTAAAAAATATCGCCCTTGTGATCACTCACTTGTGAATTGTGATCAAGTTCAGACACTAAATTTCACCCTTACTACATTAAAGATCAATTTATCAAAATATGCAATGTTTATACTTCCAACTACTACTTCCTCGAGGACACATTTTTGTCACATCTTGTTTGAACCATCTACTATTGTGGTCAATAAGATTCCTTCTACTTCGCATTTCCAATCAGTTTTTGCAATTCAATAAAAGTTTTGTAGGTTATGAATGTGTAATGTTTAATCATTAATACGTTGTAATATATATTCCCAGAAATAATTTTAATTTCAGTCAATTAGAAGCAATCCTGAATGACACACTATAACAATTCGGAAGGGGAGTAGTAATTGCTAAGAAGTGATTTCCAGAAAAAAGATCAATTCAAGCTTTGAAATACTTGAGCCATCAAATACATTAAAAGCTAGAATTACTAATGATGTTTACAAAAACTGCAAAAAATAAGCCTTTTCTATATTGTGTAATGCTACCATTGGTTCATAGAATGGTAAAAGTAAACATACATTTAGAGCCCGTTAGAGCCCGTTCGTGACTCTGTTTTTCACCTTATCAGACAACTTTTTAACTAAACGCATAATTTTTTATTTTCATGCGTTGAATTGTGTAATAATAAGAAAAAAATAAGGTGGAGTTTATATTTTTCATTTAATTTTTTCTTTGTTTTCTTAATAAATAGTAGTATTTTAGATATATTTTTTTCATAAATAAGCAGAATCAACCACTTTGGCCAATTCAGTTAGAACTTCATAAATTTCAGCAGAATCAATTAACAATTTCAACGTTACCAAACGGGTTCCTAGTCGATAAAAAAGTCTAGTGCTTTCACCTTTACTCGAATAGTATCACAGCATTCTCGGTACAAAAATGTGGAACGTGTATACGTATAGAGTATAGACACATAAAATTTAGTTAATGGAATTGCTCTCACTATCTTTCCTCAATGACCAGATTTTTAGTTACGTTAGAATCATAATGTAAAGTATAACGTTAATATTTAGACATTATTATAGTTGACATTCTGAAAAAACAAAAATCCGCACTATGAAAAGAAAAAGAGAATTTTATTAATTAACTTTTTTTTAACTTTAAAAAAATAAAATCTGGTCATTGAGGAAAGATAGTACGGATTATACTGCAGAACCCCGACCGATCATTGAGCTGATTTTCATAAAATCTGGTCATTGAGGAAAGATAGTACGGTCAAGAATTTTATTAACTCTCCCTGAGGGCCCCCAACCTTGACCGGACGGTACGTTGGGAGGATCTAAATTTGATTATAATCCCAATCTGACAGATAGAGAGTGAGGATCTGTCCCCGATACTTGCAGAGCCCATATGCATTTTTAGGATGCTTTGAGGATGCTTTTCAAAATGAACTTTTCATATTTGTATTGAGGATGCTTTTATCATACCGCTACAATTCAGTGCTTTCACAGTTCACTCGTACGTTTAGGTAGGGATGGATCCAGGATTTTGATTCAAGGGGGGTGAAAATTTTCGTTAGTGTAGGAGATAAAAAATTCACTATTGTAGCCGGGCGAAATTTTTCACTAGTGTAAGGCTCTGCGGCTATTTTAATTCAAAAATATTTCATTAATACATGCATGACGATATTTAAATCTATATATTACATTCTAAGTTTAGACAATGATAAAATAACTTTAATTTTATAATTGAAGTGCTCTAGAAAAAGTATTGACACATTAAAACGTAAGAAATGAAAAATCAAAGGAAAATAATATAAAAATAAAAAAGGATATATAACATTTTATTTAAATACAAAGAATTTATAAGACACACATTCACCAATACTTTTAAAATAACTTCAACATTGTTTAACTACACGAGTCTTATAGAAATAAAAAAATGATTTTTGAATTACAATTTTTGTCTACCATGGAGGGTGCTCATAAGTCACAAGGACTTTTTTAATATTACAATAGTATGTAAAATATTATTATTTTTAGAATAATATTATATTGCTAATTCATATATATAGTGCATATTATATTTGTATTAATGCTAAAATATTTAAAGTTTATTATCTATGCAATAAAGTCTTTTTATAACATAAGAAGTAAATGAATTGTGTAATTTAATGTCAATAAACATTTATAATTTTGATTCACTTCACATGATCTAAAAACTTTGTAGCTAGAGTGTCTGATATTTAATATCGTTTGATATATATTTTTCAAAATTATATTGTTTACTAGTTATCTAATAAAGATAATTAAACATTACAAAATTAATAATTTTTATATAATAAGTATCATAAATCTTAAATAATGAGTTGTTGTATTGTTTATTTAAGTTATGTAAATGATTTTAGACGTTCATTCTTTTAAATCTCCAATCAAGTATTACATTATGTAAGACTATATATTAATTTTAAAAACTAAAAGTTAAGGAGGACAATGTTCAAATAAAAGTTAAGGGGGGCAAATCTAATTAAAGTATCAAAATTTTACAAAAACATTACATATACAGTAGAAAATTTTAAAAATTCAAGGCGGCGATAGCACCTGCGCCCCCCTTAAATCCATCCTTGCGTTTAGGAAGAAGAAGAAGTAACGCCTCCATTGAAGAATGAAAATCTAGAATGAGAAACCAACAGATATCATAAAACGTGGGAGGTTCATGATCTAGAAATTGCTCAATCAAGATTTGAAATGAGAAACGAAATTCAGAATGTGAGAGGGTTCATACTATGGATGGACTCGGGCCGGGTGGCCCGACCCGGAACCGGCCTGGGACCGGCACTATTCCGGCCCGGCCCGACCCGGTGGCCCGGTCAGTGACCAGTCCGGGTAGGCCCGACCCGTGGATTTTCCGGTCCGGGCTCGGGTCACCCAAAACAAGGCCCGACCCGGCCGGGCCCGATTCGGGCCAAAACTATTTTTTTTTTCAATTTTTTTAAATTTTCGGGTTTGGGGGGTTGGGGGTGGGAGGGGGGTTAATTAGGAAGATGAAAAAAAAAACTGATAATGGGCTCGACCCGGCCCGGAACCGGCCTGGACCCGGACCGGACCCGGTGGTTACTCGGGCCGGTCCCGGGTCCACCACTCCTGAACCGCCGGTCCGCCCGGGCCTAGGCCCGACCCGGACCCGGCCCGGACCCGAGTCCATCCCTAGTTCATACCACTGGAAGATGTAAGAGGATAGAGAATTAGATCTCGTGAGGTGATGTTTGAGTCGTGCAACCCATTTTAAAATAATTTTTAATTTGCACTCCATTTTACTTAAAAATCATTTGACTTGCACTCCATTAAAAAAAATCTTCACAAAATGTTATATGATAGGGTGCAATGTCATAGTGTTTTGAAATTAGGGTGCAGAGTCCAATATCAGTTATCACCCAAAACGTGGAGTGCAAAGTCAAATTCCCGCTAATATAAGAAAGCTGACTAAAGTTGCTTTAGCTCAAAAAATCAATTCACTTGGCTAATATTATCCGTTCAAAATGATGTTTCTAAATTTCAATAATTTATTCATTTAAAAAAATTATTATTACTTGAACTGAATTACCGAAGTATATGTGATCATATTCGTACTTTATTCATTCTGTTATAATGATCTCAGTTTAAGAAAGCTTAGATTTGTTTTATAGAACACAGAAAGTGAGAGAACATCTTACCCTATTCACTTCATTCTAACTCAAATAATTTCAAACCATCACAATGTAACTTGTATCTTGAAGACCATGTCAAGAAGTACGAGTATAAAACTTTCATTTATTTCTCAGACTCAAAATGTACATTCATAGTGTACGAATATAAAAATGAGACATGTGGAATGCTATTTATAAATTATAACTCAGCAATAATAATAAAAATATAAAATAAAAACACCGATTTGCAAGACTACGAAGGATAAGATTTTAGTCCGAGTTCCTTCCTCGCTTTGCCAACAAACAAATCCCCAGACTTTATCATTCCCGGAATCCGCCCAGAAATGGTTATGCACCCAACTTGCATCACAGCCTCTCGTCTACCTAAAGAAACTATAGCCATTGTTGGACCGGGCTTATATTTTGCCAGTTTCTGCTCCCCTGCTCCACTTATCAATAACTTCACATTCTTGGCAACCAACAATGCATGGTTTCGAGCTATATATCCTTGATTCAGTTCCTAGAATTGTAACCAAACATTTTTTGAATCAATAAGTTGTGCATGAAAAGCAAAAAAAAAATGAAAGTTGTGAGCTAAACATGGGAAATAATCGTAGGACCAAAAGCAGATATTCTTCAAAGACACTATTAGCTTTGAAAATGATTTAGTTGATAAATAAACCAGTAGATTCAGCATAAGCTTACTTTGATATCAACAATGTCTCCAATGGCAAAGATATTATTGTGACCCTTAACTCTCAAATTTGCATCAACCATTAACTTCCCTCGGTCATCCAAGCTACCTCTCAAATCAGTATCCTTTAGCCATGATGTGGCAAAAGGCTTCATAGTACATACATAATGGCGATCAGCACTTATGGTTTCACCACCAGATAACCAGTACACACCATCCGAGGCCGAGTCCAAGTTAACAGATTGCTTGAGGATGACTTCAACCTTCTTTGAAATTAACCAATCAAATGCCTTCTTACCGGCCTTTTCTCCAATGTACTGCAGCAACCTTGATCCCTTGTGCACAAGTGTGACCTTTTTATCAGGAAATTCGACGGCTATTTCAGCAGCCAGCTCTACACCTGTCGGCCCTCCTCCAACTATCAATATGGAATTAGCAGCTTTGATATTGTCATTCTCTGCCGGGAAGAAAAATAAACATCAACGGCCTGAATTCATTATCTTGAATAGACATCATCATGAACTACTGGCTTAGTTATCAGTTTAAAGGCGTTAAGTGAGTAAATACAGCCAATGTTCAAAACCAAACAAGACTGGTGCCTAACTTTGTGTGTGGGGCTAAGGTGCAGATATTTAGATCAAGGGTTACAAAAGTTATACTTGTTTCAATTTGGTGGTATAACTATTTTTTTTTTCAACTTGTGCTCCTTTATGGTCACTAGCCTTATCTGGCCAAAGATGACTGGTAAGTGGCAAAATAAATGAATGGAAACACCAAAAGTGACAAAAAATATAAAGTTGCACACCCAATTTGGGAACTAGAAGTGCATGAATGTCATGATGCTCGTGGGACCAGAAGTAGATTATATTTCAGGCAGGGGTGGAGACAGGGAGAGGGGGTGGAGACAGGGAGAGGCTAGAGGGGGGCCTCGGCCCCTGCAAGAAAAAAATTCTTAAGTATATATTATATATAAATACTTTTAATCTATAGAAAGTATGTTGTTATTTTAAACTTTGTCCCCAGCAATGTAAAATTTTGAAGGACCGGCCCCGTTAACCATAGATTTCAGGCTCCGCCACTGATTTCAGGGTTATTAGAGGTATTTGTTGATATGAAAGCCTTTATATCAAAGGTATTGAGTCAATACACATTAGATGTCATCAAAGTCCTTACCATTTTGGTAGTAATGGAGTTTCTCATTTCTCGTGGAACTGCCATTATCCAAATGACCTGTGGCAACAACAAGATAATCATATGCAAACCACTCGCCTTGTTCTGTCAAAACTTCATTCCTCATGATGTTGATAGCGGGAGACGAAATAATGCGTACACTGTGAAGGTATTCGCTGTGATTAACCACTGCACGTTTTGCAAATGATGGTTCGACCATTGACCTTAAGCTTGCCCATGTAATCTCAAAGTACTCCTTCCTGTTGTAATCTACAGTTATCAACTCAGCACAAACACATCGCAATAATAAAAAAAAAATATTAAAGCACATCAATATGAGAAATCATAAATTAAGAAAAATCAAGCAAAGCGCCTAAAGTTCTAGCAAAACTAATAAACTGTTCACCACATTATCAAACGAAGTATCCCCACCAAACGGGCTCTCATATGAAATCAACATTTCCGCACAAAATCCCTCAATCGAAAAGCACAAAAATTTACACTTACGAATCAATAAGGATAACGTCGCAATAGTTCTGAAGGGTATATGCAAGAAGAGAGCCGCCAGCTCCTCCGCCAACGATCACCACCTTTTTCTTCTCCGCCATTGAACTTCCAACTGTAAAAAATAGAATAGTATATAAAAGGAGAGCTGATTTGTGATTCTGTCGAAAATTGTGAACGAGCGTGGCGTTTATATACGCATCCATAACACAGCAGGAGGGCGTGAAAAGAGACGCAAAATTGAACATAACTTCGCGTCTCCTTCGCCCTGTTGAAAAGCAGTAAAATTAATGTTTAGAGGATTAGTTATGTGAGTTGTCGTACGCATGGGCGTCATCGCTTTACTGCAATTTTTCAAATTGAATATAAACTGGGTCTTATCTCACATGCCAGGTAGAAACGAAGTAGAGAGATGAAGGTTGAATTTGGAGCAATGATTTGAAATGAAATTTTCAGCTCTTTAGATCAAAATTTAATTTATTTCCTCTCAAATAATTGTTCTGTAAGTTTTGCGGGTCTTCAGCAATGCGATGCCATTTTTTTCAAGTCGAACTCCTTATAAAATTACTCGATTAATCTCAATTTATTTGCCTTACTTTTCTTTATGGATTATCCCAAAATACATGTCATGTTTTCTTTTTTGAAAAGAATATGGAATTTGTAACATTTCACTTTATTATGCTTTAACTTTAAACAATATTTTTTCAATCACTTTATTGATAATTATTTCAATCCAAAACATGACACATTAAATGAGAAACATATATTACAAAATATTAAGTAATATGGAGAATAAATAATCATTTGATCCCACAAAACATGACACGTTAAATGAGAAACATATATTACAAAATATTAAGTAATATGGAGAACAAATTTAATTTACACATGAAATAATAAAATAAAAATTATATAACTCACATTTTTTCATAACTTAATCACATTTCACCTTTGTCTCATAAAACTTGCAATTTTGCCAACTGCGTATTTACAATTTAAATACTTTAATTACATATAACAATTTACATAAAAATTAACTTTAATTCAATCACTTTAATTTTGCCAACTTCAAATTAAGTGAGACATAATGCTAATTAAATAAATTATTCCCGAAATACTGCCGAGTAAAGAATAATTTCCAAAATACTGTTGGGGTTAACCGCGGTTAATCAAAGCCGCAACTCCAAATTGCGACTCTTGTATAGCTTCACAAGAGCCGCCACTTGGACTGGCGGCTTATATACACTGTATAAAAACCGCCACTCGAAGTGGTGGCTCTTGTGTTAAGCAAGCTGCTGGACTATTAATTACACAAATGAATCTGTAGTTAGCAGAAAACATATGATTTACTAAGACAAAATACATCTGAAACACAAAACGAATCAATGAAACTCATTGCATCACAACACTTGAAATAAGACATAAAAGTTATAATAAATCAGGTGTTTCACAAATTGATTCGATCTGCCAGTGCATGTTACAACTCTCACACAATAAATATAAAGATCATAAGTCAACGTGATCATCATGATGATAAGTTCATGTGGTTGTGGTTGTGCTCGAGAGCGCCTGCGCTGGTTACGAGGCTGAAGAACAACTCTATTACATCGGACTACCTGAGAAGACCCTGTTGTGGATGTAGATGCGGTAGAATGCTAAGAGGTGACCATATATCCATAATCCACTTGACCCAATACATCAGCGCACAGAGCAACAATGCCCGAACAAGCGTCATGGTATCCCTGTATATCTACCGCCTCATCAGTACAGTAGTCGCTCTGTCATGGATGTTACGCAAAGCCCGTGTCTGAAATGCAAACATGGTTATTACTGAAAAATATATGAATAAATAAATAAAGTTGTTTTATTGACTATATTGTTTACCATCATATGAAGAGCGACTGAGCTGCTGGTAATGATCAGTGGGTAAACAAAAACTGGGAGAGATGAACACTCGTGTGATGGTGTAATACCATCTCATGATCAGTGGGGACTAATGATGGGGTCCCGTCCACTGTATATGCTGCTCTCTCATCCCACATAGTGATATACTGATTATGGCACATCCCCCAATCTTGAGTGTGCTTCCCCCGTCTATCAATCTTGTGCAAGTCCACAGATGTATCACAAGGTCCGAGAGTAAGCTGCTGCAACCCGAACTATCGTAGTACATGATCAGGAAAGTGATGCTCCACTACATCAAAACATATCAAGAGCACACATGCTCGCCATATCTCTGTGTGCTCTCGAGCAACAGGAGGTAATAGTCCTAGAATATTTTTAATATAAAATAATGTTACCCCATGGTTTAGAAAAACATAAAACAAAGTACTTACATTTAATGATATACATGATCATCGCACATGCGATCTAAAGCATCTCGGTAGTATCCGATATGGGTTTAAATACTATTTTATAAGAAGTCGCATACTTTGAGGATGAGAAAAATATATCAACAAAAGCATCATAGGACAAACTACGTTCTCTGCATTCCGCTAAGATATGTGAGCAAGGAATCTTATAAATATTCAGCTTCTGACATGTGCAATGGTGACGGTGCAAATTCACCGTTTGTTTTGTACCACCCTTCCCCACAGCTCGACCACCACGACCCGTCTCCACTTGGTATAAACCACGACTTATGTCAAATGTTGTGGTGCCATACTTGTACCCCCGTTGTGGTGTAAAGACCACTTCTCCAAACCAATCTTCGCTAAATATTCTCGTGCTTGTGCCTGCATTTCGCCTATCCTGTTAAATCCACCATCAAATTTCTTCTTTTGACGTTGACTTGCTGTCCAAACGAACATATTCTTCAAGTGAATGTCTTTAAATTGAGTATGCAGATTAGAAGCGATATGATATATGCAAAGCCTATGTCGTGAATCTGGCTCCTCCCATCCACTACCTACCTCATTAAGTGCCTTCAGAATTCCAACATGTCGATCTGAAATAACACACAATTCTTTGCGTGTGATAAAATGACGTATGCACCCCATAAACCACAACCAACTCTCTCCATTCTCTGATTCACAAACAGCGAACGCCAAAGGGAAAAGTTTATTATTAGCATCACTACCCATTGCCACCAACAACGTACCTTTATACTTCCCATATAAGTGTGTTCCATCAATGGTCAGTAAGGGACGACAATGCTTAAAGCCTTTAATGGATGGTTTAAAAGCCCAAAAAACTCTTTGAAACTGCACAAAGTCAGTGGTACCTGAAAGACGAAGAAAATTAGAGGGACAAATTGAAAATGAAATGTAATATGATACGATAAAAGATATTAATAACTCATTGGTACCTGAAAGATGTGGGTACCAACGCACGACCGTCCTTGGATTGGAATGCTGTAATGCCAACATGAAATGGGGAAAAGCAGAATATGAAGCCCCCAATCTCCAAATATTTCACCGACAACTTTTTGCTTAGCCAACCAACTTCGCTTGTACGAAGGTACATATTCGTACTTTTCCTTCAGTGTTTGTACTCTCTTTTTCTTCTTTGCGGTGCATTTCGTTTTTATTTTTTCTTAGGCTTTTTCTTATTTAATTTTCTTCTCTTAAATTTTTCTCTTTTTCCATTAAAATACTAAATTTAATTGAAACAAGTAGAGTAAAAATTGTATAATTAAAATTTTTGTAGAGAAAAACGAAATGACTAGAGACAAATTAATTAATTTAATTCGAAAGTAATAAAAAAATTTAAACAACAAAAATAAGAAAGCATATAAAATTCAATTGAAGAGGTGAAACATTTATTATTTTGATAGAAATGATAATTCATTTTTGAAAAAACATGGCCCATGGAGCCGAAAAGAGCGACAAGGAGCACCCGAAACATGCCCATTTTATTTAAACAAATTAACAATAACTTGCGGAGTATAAAAATCATTTTTCAACAATGCATTCAATTTAATAATAGTAAATGTTAGGGCTGACATTTTGAACCGAAAAACCGAAAACCAAATCGAAAATAGTTGAACCGCATTGGAAAAAAACTGAACCGGACCGAGCCGATAATTTTTGGAACCCGAAAATTGGGACCCAAAAAAACAAAAATGATTCGAAATCGGTTTGTACCTGGGTTATTTAATCGGCGAGTACTCGGCGAGTACTCGGGGAGTACTCCCGACTCGGCCTCCTACCTTGCAGAGTAGGACATTTACTCGGCCCGAGTTAATTATCCGAGTAACTCGGCGATTACTCGGCGAGTTAGGCTACTCGGTAAGTTGGTGAAATAAGCGAGTTACTCGGTACTACTCGGTATATAAAAAAAAACTTGCGCACTAAACCTAAAACCTTAAGCGGTGGCTTCGACCAGTGCTGCGACATCTTTAGGAGCTGCGACTGGCAGTCTAGGTCATCTTTTGGGGCTTCGATCAGTGTTGCTTCATCGTTTCGACCAGTTCTACTGTTGCTGGGAGTCACCTGCGAGACCTGCGAGTGCTACAAGGTTGATGCGACTCTGCGAGGTGCTACAGGTAACTCTTTCCCTCGTTTCTTCTTTCGCTTGTCACTGAGGCATTATGTTCCTTTTATTCTATGAATCTATGAATTAAGCTTTGATTTTTATATTAAGCTGTCAGTTCCTTGGTTATTATGTATTAAGCTTTGATTTTTATTCATATATTAAGCTGCCAGTTCCTAGTATTAAGCTGCCAGTTCCTTAGTTATTATGTTACTGAGGCTGTCTCGTTTCTTGTTGTTGTAGTAGTAAGTAGTTACCAAAAGTGAATCATTTTATTAACAAGCTCTTAGAGATGTCTCTGTAATCCAAAAGTTAAAAGTTATATAGATGAATGCAAATATTAAGAGTTAACACTCTTATTTGGGCTTTGGTTAAGGAACTAAAGCAGAAAAGTGTTGATTGAAAACCATGGAGTTTGCGTAATACATCCAAGTGAAACGCTTGCATTTGATTTCTTAAACAATGCCTTCAGGACACTTTGTTTGCTTTCACCCCAGTAACTCCTTAATCTTTCTGTTAAGTTATTTTGTTATTCAAACTGCTGCAGCCAAATTTGTTTGATTTTTATTCTTATATTAAGCTGCCAGTTCCTTGTAATAAGCTGCCAGTTCATTGTATTAAGCTGTCAGTTCATTGATGAATGATGATCATTTATTTAAGCTTACTAACATCCTTGAATTTACAGTCATGAACTCTGATCAGTCTGGTCAGGCCTCTAATGGTGCTGAATCTGCTGCTGCTACTACACTTAAGAGAAAATCAGATGATATAGGATGGACTTGGGGAGAGAATAGAGATCCTACTAATAAATCTTTGGTGTGGTGTAAGTTTTGTGATAAGAAAATGTCTGGAGGGATTCACCGTCTTAAAGAACACCTTGCACAAGTTAAGGGAAGTGTTTCTTCTTGTAACAAGGTAACCAATGAAGTGATGAAGATAGTTGCAAAATCATTACTTGAAAAAAAATCTGCCAAGGCAAAGAAAGCTAGAGTTGACACTATAATTGAGAGGGAAAATGCTTTCCTGGATGGGGATGATGAAAGTGAGCTTGGTGATGATGGTGATGGCAAAACTGAAGGTGGACACACAGCTTCAATCTTTACAACTGGGCAAGGCAGTGGCACAAATGCTTCTAAGACGAGAATTAAGCAATCTAATGTTAGAGGATCACTGGATACCTTACTAAAGCCCGACCATGAGAAGATGAAACAATCAACGTTGGATAAACATAATCCAACTAAGCAGAAATTGAAGGAGATTGCTTGGGATAAATTTGCCGAGTGGGGATATGAGGTTGGGTTAGCTTTTAATGCCGTTAGAACACCAAGCTTTCAGACCTTTATTCATGCAGTTGGAGATTACGGAAGAGGTAAATGAACTGAAATTTTATAATAGCCTTAATTTTTAGTCCAATAAACTGAAATTTTATTCTTTATTTCTTGTCATTCCTTTTCAAGGTATGCCAGCACCCAGCTATCATCAATACCGCCATACTCTGTTAAACAAGCAGCTTGTCAAAACAAAAGAATTTGTTGAATCATTCAGAGCACACTGGAAGACATATGGATGCTCTATTATGTCAGATTTTTGGACAGATGGTAAAGGAAGGGCATTGATCAACTTTTTGGTAAACTGTCCAAAAGGAACAGTTTTTTTGAAGTCTGTAGACGCGTCTGAGCATGTGAAAGATGCAAATCTCATTGTGGGGCTGATTAATGAGATTATTGAACATGTGGGAGAGGAGAATATAGTTCAGGTGATCAATTATAAATTCTAAATCTATTGTCTATAGATTAACTTATAGTCATTTATTAATTAATACTAATTTCAGTTTTTTTTTCATGTTAAATGTTAATAGTTCATCACCGATAATGGATCTAACTTCAAGGCAGCGGGAAGGATTTTAGAAGAACAACATCCTAAGATGTATTGGACCCCTTGTGCTGCACATTGTGTGAACTTGATGTTGCAAGATCTTGGTGATAAGTTGCCCAAGATAAAAAATGCTTTACGTGAAGGTAAAGCAATGGTTGTTTATATATATAATCATGGGAGGATACTGAGCCTAATGCGAAAGTTAACAAGCGGGAGAGAGTTGCATAGATCATGTGTAACCAGGTTTGCTACTGCGTTTTATACTCTTAAGAGTATTTGGGAGAATAGGTGTCATTTGCAAGTTTTATTTGTTTCTGAAAAATGGACCAAAAGTGAGTTTGCACAGAAGGCTGATGGAAAAAAAATTGCAAGAATAGTGGCAAGGCAGACTTTTTGGGATAATGTTTATTTTACTTGTCAAGTCCTCGCTCCACGGTTGATGTCATAAGATTGGTGGATACAGAAGAGAAACCTAGTATGGGTTATATCTATGAATCTATGGATAGATCAAAAGACCAAATTGAAAAGAATCTTGGGAATGACCATTTCACTTGTGCAAAAGTATGGCAGACAATTGATAATAGATGGAATAATAAATTCCATCACGCTTTGCACGCAGGTACAAACTGTTTTCATTTTTTTCTTACTGTAATCTTCTCTTTGTTTTCTTTACAAACTGTTTTTCATTTTTTTCTTACTGTAATCTTCATTTTTTACAATCTGTATAATTTAAAGTATATTTTAATACTTAGTTAATATTTAATAATATAGTTTCATTATGATTTATGAGTCTTGTCACTTGTGCAGCCGGTTATTACCTAAATCCAAGCATTTTTTATAAGCATGATTTGACGAAGATGGAGTCAAACAAAGAGATAAAAGCCGGGCTCTTAGAAGCAATACAAAAGCTCGTAGATGAAGATGCACTTGACAGTATTAGCAGTGAGTTGGTACTTTACAGATCTGCAAGTGGGTCTCTAGGATCATCTATGGCTGTGAGAGCTAGGGAAAAAGTCCCACCCAGTAAGTTTCCATCTCCACTATTACACTATACTAATTAATTAATCATCTTTCATTTTTATTTACTTATAATATTGTGTAAATTAGTTATAATTTAATTAATTCAATAATTTGTAGATGAATGGTGGCTTTCGTATGGGTCTGATGTGCCAAATCTCCAAATGTTTGCACTCAAGGTTTTGAGTCAAACCTGTAACGCCTCACCATGTGAGCGTAGTTGGAGTGCCTTTGATCATGTGCGTCATTTACTCATTTAGTATAGTAGTATTGAATATACTTAACTTATTTCATTCAGGGCATATTATACTTGATCATGTGACTTTTCCAACATGTATTTCATGTGTTGTTTCATGTGCAACATTTTAGATACATTCAAAGAAGAGAAACCGTTTGCTGCAATCAAAGTTAAATGATCTTGTCTACATCCAGTACAACAAAAAGCTGCAGCAACGGTTTTTTGAGAGAAAGCACAATGTTGGCAGTAAGAGTTATGATCCTATATTCTTAAGGGAAGTTGATGAAAATGATGATTGGGTTGTTCCAGATGATGAAGCACTTCAAGACCTTGTCAATCAAGGTGATGATCTGACTTGGGAACAAGTACGAGCAGCACAACAAGCAACTGAGGCACGGACAAACACAAGGAGTCAAAACAGAAGGGGGAATGTGAATGCATCACAGTCTGCGTATAGACTGCTTGATATTGATATAGATGACCCGGAAGTGGAAGAGGAAGAACAAGTGGGGAATCTGACTACTGAAGATCTATTTGGAGAAGATCTATTTGGGGACATGGAGTATGAAGACGAAAATCACGACCTTGAACCCAATGAAGATTAATATCAGACCAACTTATTAGAAGATTGACTGTTTTATCACTTTTGCTTTATGACATTTGCTACGCCATCATTAGGATAATAGGATTTCTATCCTTTTATTCACTTCTATGCATTTTAAGACAATTTAAAGACAATTTTATTACTATATTTTAAGACTACTATATTTAAATATATTATTATATTTAATTAATACTAGGCCGAGTACTCACCGAGTAATCCCGAGTAATCGGTCCTACTCGCTACTCGGCCCTTGACCGAGTTGCTACCGAGTAGCGAGTAAACTGCATAGGTTTGTACCCTCAAAATACCGGTTTGGACCGAACCGAACCGATTTTTTTATTAATAATAATTGTTTTTATCATAGTTAATTTCATTTATTAAATATACAATTCTGTCGGGAGAGGATTATGTCCGCTGGTTATAACTTTGTTATAACCAGTCACACTAGTTATAACAATAGTGTATGTCAACATTTATAAAGTCTTACTTGTCTAGATGGTACTAGATTAATGGCACAATACCTTCAGAACTAAGAATAGAGTCTTTTAATTTGGACACATTTAATTTGGACATCTTTTCGGTGAACCAGTTTCCTAAGGGTGCGAAGATCATAAATGATTACAGATGAATCAATAGCAACCACCAAACTGGAGTCAGAGAGTGTCATAGACTCTGCCTCTGATGTTAGATTGTTCAAGCATCCAACAGATTTCACCGACCGTGCATCCCAGAAGAGTATGTTCCTATCCCAACCAGCAGTAATTAATTGACCTACATGAAGCAACGAGTAAACATGCCAAAATAGTGTAAATGTAAGTTCTATTAGAACTGTAATATATCAGTACCATGTACATGCAAGCTCATATGTGGTGAAGGCTTACATGTTTCAGGAGAAAACTCAACAAAAGTTGCCATATGGTCATGATTCCCTATTGCAGATTTATGTCCTGAATGCAAATCATACCTATCAATTTGCCATTACAAACAAGGCATCGACTATTTCATTTCCATAGTTCAACAAAATCATCGATTGCAAGATATATTGTTTTTTTAAAAACACAAGTGTTCACTTATCCGAGGCTAATTTGGAATAGCCGAGTTCAACTAATTCAGAACTTTTTGAGGGCATAGATAATTTAGAATAACTTGAGTGGAAACCTGTGCACAGAACCATCAGAAGCTGCACTGAAAGCCACAGAATCACTTTGAAAACAACAATCCAGAAGGGCAGCCTCCCCTGGCGATTCTAGTATTAGCTCAGAGCGTTGAATGTCGTACAAACGGAGTTTCTGCAGGCATTAGAACCATAAAAATGTAAACGCATATGAGTTGCAGCATTCACGGGTGCACACAGATATTCTTTAAAATGATGATTATTACTTACGCAGTCCGAGGAAGAAATGAGGAGATTGTTGGAATGCGGGGAGAATCGGATCCTGGAAATGGCGTCTCGTATTGGGGCTCTAAAGCTTAAAGGAATCGCGTCCATGGCTGTAGATGACTTTCAAGCAATCCTGGTGGAATGAGTATGAGCCCTAAATTTGGGGCGGGAAAATTAGAAATCACTTGCACAATTCAAAATCTTGCGGATTATGAGTGAACCAGCAAAAAAATATTCCAGCCGAATTACCAAATTGAAAAAAAAAGGGCGTTTTGCCAAATTATTAAAAAAACAAGTGACAGATTAATCAATTTTTTTGAGTAGACATTTTTTGTCCTCGATTTTAGAATTCCCGACATTTCGTATTAAAAGTATTGCAAAATTGACATTTTTAGTCCTTCAACTTTGATTTTGTCATGAAATGTGCAGGATTAAAAATGACACTAGTTGTGCTTGATAATAGCAGTTGTCTGCTAGCTAATAGCCGGTTGAATGAGCAAATTAATACTAACATATTCTATTAACTTTTTTTTAACTAACCACTTTCATTATCAGGTTGAAACAAAATATTAGTAACTTAGCTGTTAAAGCGTAAAATGACCATTAAGGATATGAATTTAAAAGTTTAAATATTTAACTTAATTTAATTTCTTTTCATTTTAATAAGTCTTGGAAAAAATTTAAGAATTATATTTATGTTTATTTTTAATAACTACTACCACTATCATTTTTGACATATGTACATTAACGCGAGCACACACGTATAAATTCATATATTTTTAGTATTAATGATGTAAAATGACTATTTTATTACGGAGTAGTTTAAAATAAATCTACCCCGTTTAGAAAAGAGATAATAGCCCTAAATAAGACTAAATTAATCCCTAAATGCACAACTAGGACTATGTTATTTATCTTTCCCAAATAGGACTAAAGTATACTCTATCTTCATATTCTACCCTTACCACAACTTAATAAGATAATCATATTTTTATTTGTAATAAATACAAAAAATAATAAAAAATAATTTAACTTATACATAAAATCGTAAAAATATAAACAAAATTCTAAAAAAATCTTAAAAATACGAAAATAATAAAAATTAAAAAAATTATTTTTTAAAAAAAAAACTTTAAAATAAAAAAAAAATAGATAAAACAACTTAAAAATTTAAAGAAAAATATGGAGGCTTTTCCCACAGTCTCGGCTACTCCCCAACAACTTTATCTCTGATCGGCTAAAAAATGTCATTTTGTGTAAAAACTGTCATTTTTCTCTGAAAATACTATTAAGAAGGCATTTTTACTCTTGAAAATGCCAAAAATGGAATCATACAAGTTTTAATCAATAAAATTAAACTAAGCAAAAAGTATCAAGATATCCATTATATGCCAAAAATGTCTTCAATGCTTGTATAGAAAATATGCGATAATAGAACAAAATAAAATAAATGAGCAATAGTTCTCAAAAATAAACACACAATCTAAACATATACAGTGCTCATAATTAACAAAGATAAGGAAATGATAAAGATTGCAATTATCCACTACATAACCTAAATTGAAATTACGAAGATTTACACTGAGAAACATAACTGAAGCAAAATTCAAATGAAGTAATTAAATAGCTTCCGTAAAGTCAAGAAAAAACAAAATTCTTTGTAATAACTGGAAATATTTAAATGAGATTGGTAATTTAGTATAATATACTATGTACATAATTACATAAAGTATTCATTCACTTTTTGACAAATGTGGTTAAAAAAATGCACTAATACTCTAATAGAATTTGCAGATCAACACTAAGATCAAAGTAGATAGAAAGGACGCTGAAAATCATTTTGCCTTTAAAACATGGCCTAGGAAACAATTTTATATAAACCCTACAATATCATTTTTTTCTAAATTTTCCTACATTTCCATCTCTCCTACTTTCAACAGCATTGAACCTCTACAACTCTATGCTCAGTTTCCGAAATAGCCCTAGAGGAGCAGCTAGAGTTTAGGGATATAATAGTTTCTTTATTTTATAAAAATACTCATTATAATAACTTTAAGGAAATTTAGCTCATTCAATACATTAGGTCATTTCAACCAAACATCAATAATTCATCACATTCAACTATCTCATCCAAATTTTTCTATCTATAAACTGACCCTAATATAGTAAATTAAAAGAAGAGGAGCTTACCCAAAAAGAGGAAACCATCTCAAGGCACTATGGTAGAAGAACCTGCACATTAAGCAAGAAAAATTATGTCTTCGTGGTAGAACAGTTGATCCCAATTAACACATAAGATCCCAAAGAAAATGACAGCTATAACCAAACAACGTTGTGTGAGGCAGCTAACTCGGGGAATTCCTTCACTCGTCCCTGCTCCCAAGAATATTATTTCAGATTAACTGGTCACCTGATCGCTCTGCAATTGTTGAATAACATTCATTTTAAGTAAAAAGGGAAGGGAAAATCTTTCTACCAAGTCTACGGGTATGGTTAGGTGCGGGAAATGTGAGGGAAATATGTCAATATGTTAGGATAATGGGCTTACGAGAATAATAATAATTAAGTGTGATAGTGTAATAGAGGGTCCTGGGCCTGGTAGTAGTTGGCCTTGACTGGCCCATTTGAAATAGAATAAATAAGGGTGAGTGGTGAGTAGATGGAGAGGCAGAACTTGGGATCAGGACTGGGATATTGGGAGTGAGAGACCACTCGAAGAGTCTCAAACCTTTCCTTTCATGACTTTCTGTATTCCTTCACTAAATGTTCATTAATAAACTACTACTTTCTTCTTGGATTCTTCAGTTACTTATCATTGGTATCAGAGCATCCTTCCTGGAGCCTGAATCGATAGTCAGTTTCAACGACAGTTGAAGAAGAAGAAGATGGACAATAGCGACAGTCAGTGGAAGGAGTTGCGCTATATGCTGTGCAAACTTCGTCACCGTCAGAGGCGACATAGAGACAGAGCTAGGAGTCCACCTAGACACCGTCGGCCAATCGAAAATCAGGTGTTTCCGTCCGTCGCTCCTCCTAGTTCGCAATCGCGAACTGCTTCACGTAGTTCGCAGACACCTTCGCTAGCGCAGGTCTCTTCACAGTCGCTAGCTGATTCTACCGGTCCGCAGATGTCTTCGCAAGCCTCTTCAGCTTCGTCGCGAATAGCATCTTCCGGTCAACAAGTTTCTTCGCAAATAGATCTCCCTTGTTCGCAGGTCTCTTCATCTACTATCATCTCGAATCAAAGTGTGAGGCTATCAGAAGGAGACTCCAAATCGCTGCGAAATCCCTATGCGAACCCTAGTATCACTCCAGAAAGAGGAGACACCATCAGTTCGCAGACTTCATCCTACCCTAGCAGTTCACTTCAAGGCACGATGCGATTGGAAGGAGAAGCCTCCACGTCGCCGTTGCTGTACGTGTCACAAGAGTCAGGCAATCCGCAGAAAACTCTCTCTGAAGAGGAAACTGAGGAAATGGAAGAGGATGAATCAAAGTCTGAGAAAAAGGAGGACAAAATTGAAATGCAAAATCAAAATAATTCCTTTGAGGGGTTTGATAGTTTGAGCTATATTCACTGCTACAATTCTGATCTTATGAAAGTAGCTAACAATAGTGATGCTGAAAAAGTACTGCACCACTATCATATCACAGAAGACGAATTAGAGGTCTCTGGTTGTCTTGGTATGGATTATAATCAGCACTTTGGTGGTGGTGTGATGTACTGGAATCATTTTGACCCTATTGAACAGTTCTTAACTATGGGGACCACAGATGGTATGCTGAAAGCAGTTGGAGGGAACAACATGGAAGGTCCTATGGTATGGGAGCTGGAGAACAGACACTTATCTTCTATATTAAAAAGGAAGTCAAACCTACCCACATTCTCTGCTATTTATGGCATTCATTACATGTTTAGGGAGATGAACGATGACGATATTCAACCCACAGGACGTCCACCAAATAATCCGGAAGGGGCAGAAAATGTTGAGGCCGATGCCAGCTCACTTTCAACTCATGCTTTGCTCGAAGGGACAGTTGCTGAAGCTGGTTAGAAAAATTTCAGGAAATACAACATAAAGTGGTGGGAAGTTGGGCCAGAGATGCAGTTGCTAGAAGATCTTTACCTCTGCAACATTGTGGAGCAGGATGCAACAAAGTCCTTGCCTCTGCTCTTTCTTGCTATGCTCTTTCTGGCTATTGAAGGAGTGATGATGAAGGTTCAAATCAGGAAGGTATGGGTCCAGAAAGCAGTGAAGTACTGGGAAGGGAGAGGCGCAAGAATGAAGGTGAACCTAAAGATCAAGGCTGTTTAATATCACCCACCTTGAGGACAAGGTGGTTGTCCAACGGGGGAGATATGTTAGGATAATGGGCTTACGAGAATAATAATAATTAAGTGTGATAGTGTAATAGAGGGTCCTGGGCCTGGTAGTAGTTGGCCTTGACTGGCCCATTTGAAATAGAATAAATAAGGGTGAGTGGTGAGTAGATGGAGAGGCAGAACTTGGGATCAGGACTGGGATATTGGGAGTGAGAGACCACTCGAAGAGTCTCAAACCTTTCCTTTCATGACTTTCTGTATTCCTTCACTAAATGTTCATTAATAAACTACTACTTTCTTCTTGGATTCTTCAGTTACTTATCACAATAGAAATTGCTCTAAATAGGAGCAAAAACGTTTTGAAATTCCAAAATAGGAGTATCATGTTTTTTATTCCCTGAATAGGAGTAATATGCCAAGTTTGGAAAAAATGCCATGTTTTAAAGCCTAGTAATGCCAAACTTGGCAGAAATTTACTCCTATTCAAGGAATAAAAAACATGATACTCCTATTTTGGAATTTCAAAACTTTTTTACTCCTATTTAGGGAATTCTCTCGAATGTCAATGAAAGATACTACCTGAGAAAGCTCAATGAAAAATGAAATAAGATTAAACGTGTTTTGAATTCTTATCCTGTATATAATAAGAGAGGACAAATAAATTGAATGTGTTCAAATGAAAAAAATAAATTGATTAGGCTTTTCAGGAAGATTTTCTTACCTTTTCAAATTATTCCTATACCTTCCTCTTATTTTCATTCTTACAATTTTCTGAGTTTCAAACAGACTCTAAAAGACTACAACAATCACTTTACACAACTAGGCTATGTATTAATTTCACATATTCACTAATTGTACCAGTTGCTTAAGCAAGAAAGCAAGACAGTTAAATATCTTATTTGATGAGAAAGGTGCTATATTATCTCAACTTTCAATAATATAGAGGTAGGTCACATATGATAAGAAATTGACTTTTGCAAGAAACTTAGATTTGTATCAAGTCACATACTAACAATGCAAAAAAAACATTTGTAGTAATAAAATGGGTTTATATTCGAAAAAGAAATTCTCAATTGGAGAGGTTGGCCTCACACTAATGTGTGATTGTGCAACATTTCAATGACAGTTTATGTAATGTAATCATAATTTTGACTAAATCCTCCCCACAAATTAGTTAAAAATCCTCCATCCACATGAGCCAAAACCAGGATTAAATTGATCGATCATATTATAAATTGAAATTCCAATATAAAAGACTGATTAGATGAGACTATGAGAGTAGACTGAGTAGTAGCTATCTTATATACTTCATTTTGGTTGGAGCAAACCGAATGAATAGCTCTAAATGAGATATTGTCCATATTAAATTGATTTGTTATTTTATATTTAACTGATGTAGGGCACACACTTCGTCACGTCCCTCGGCCCAAACTGTCGACAAAAAAGTAAATAAATTGGCCAAACTAACTCTTGATTACACGGGTGTCAAAATTAGACAAGGGTTTAATACCATAGTAAAGCTTAGAGTTCCAATTATAGTCTAGGATTTTATAGCCATGTGATGCCAAACAAATAAATTAACCCCAATCAGATGAACTACTAAAATGGGTATAACTACCACGGAGATATACTTCTCAGTAAAACTTGAATATGAGATTTAATTAGAGTCAATATCTGGTACATTAACAGAACCTATCTGGTGCAATATTAAGCAACAGTTTAAGAATGTAGACAGCGAACGGTCCGAATGGAATTTTTTTTCTGCAAGGTAGTGCAGTAACCTTATTTTCGCAAAAGCTGTTTGGCCAATTTACCACAATCTACACTGCTTAACATAATATTTCACATTAAAAAGCTAAAACCTATTCCATTTCTTGTGCAAAAGACATAGGAAGTGCATACTCAAATAAGGGACCATACCACTTCTTTCTTCTTCAAACGTGATCTCGAGGGCAAATGTTTTCTGCAAGGTAGTGCATCAGCCTTAATTTTTCTGCAATGTAGTGCAGCAAGAATGAATTGTCATGAGGATTGACAAAAGTAACAATTCCAAACAACAACAAAAACAACTTTTAACATGGAGAAGTGGAGATCAGATTACCAAAAGTAGTGATAACATGTGTTGCACACTTCCCAAATAAGGTCATCTTGGCAAAAGCAACTAACAAAGCGTCAATGCCTAATAATTATGAGATGACTCCATCACAGTATGCCCATTTAATGCCAGCTTACAGAAGCATTAGTGACTGCATTAAAGCACATGTAGATAGTTTACAGTTGCATGGAGTTAGAACTTGTCACATCATGGGGCAGATTATTGGTCAAAAGGGTGGGCACGCCAATGTTGGGTTTGCAAGAAGGATTTGTACAATTACATTCATCAGCAAAAGAGAGATAAGATAAATGATGACGATGCATTTGCTGCGTTATCTTATCTCCAAGCCAAAGCAGACAATGATAGTTTTATGTTTTCCAAGTTCACAACCACAGAAGAGGGGAGGTTCGATAACTTGTTTTGGTCGGATGGTGGAAGCAAGCTTGTGTTGTGAACAGAAAAATAAAAATCAACGGGGTAAACCGTTGCCCAGATAATCAACGATAAAAATACCGTTGCCCAGAGCCAAAAGGCTAAAACCAATTTTATTCCAAGATAATAAGAATGAACCCTGGCGAGGGGTATAAATAGCCTTCTACAAGAAACCCTAGTCAAACCCAAATTAATTAAATCCTAATTAGGCCCAGACTAACTCTACTAAGTACTCTACTAATAAAAGGCTCAAACCAAAACATAACATTAACTTAATAATAATAAATAAACTATAAAGACAGCCCGTAACCGGCCCACGGAAGTGGGCCCAAGCCCGGTCCCGTCCCATGCTCTTCCCGGTACCTATCAATCCATCCTCCTTCAAATTAACCTTGTCCTCAAGGTTGAAATCTCGCGGATCGGGGACTGAAATTTCCAGTCATAGAATAGACCGGAAAATATCCTTCATCTCTTTCCTGAATTCTTTCCTGACCTGTTATTTCACAGTACTCATGTTGTTGGAGGTCCAACTCTTCATCCTCTTCAGCTATCATTACCCGCAACTGCTTAAAGGGACAGTCATGTCCCGGTGTAAATGGTTTCTTACACCTAGAGCATAATCCTTTCTCCCTCAATTATGCGAACTCCTTTGGCGGAAGATGAGTGAACAGAGAGCGTGTCGTAGGCTGCCCGGACAGCCCTGACTTCGTCCCTGGAGGTTGCCCCATGTCTTTAGGAAAGCTGCCATTTGATCCTCTTAAGCTGCCAAGACTTATGGTTGTGCTGTTACTACCACTTACCACTTGGGCGCGAAAAACTGCCTGAACGCAAGTCCGTGTTGTAGGGTTGACTTTCCCAGTCTCCATCTTGAAAGGACAAGTTGTCCTCAATATCTCTGGCCAAATCCATTGCAATCTCCAGGTTGTTTGGCCCAGCAATCGTAAGGATCCTCGAATCGGTCCCTTCGGCCCGTTCATGAAATACCCCAAATAATGATCATCGGACAGTCCAGGAACCTGACTGGCCAACTGCACAAAAAGGTTATTGTATTCTTCTATGGTTCCCAACTGTTTGGCCCCGGACAGTCGTTCAAATCGGTTGCCCTTGAACCGTGAATCAAAACGGGCCACTAGTGCATCTGTGAATTCCTCCCAAGTCAGGCCCGGTTTCCGTGCCTTCAACCAGGTCAACCGGTACAGGGCAGCCTCTTCCATGGCTACCGTAGCTGCTGCCACTTTGCTTCCAGGTAGGGTTTGATGAATTTCAAGCCCGGTCCCACTCCATGCTCTTCTCGCTACCTATCAGCTTGATTACCATTGCTTTGGAGATGTTGTTGCTTTTGACACTAGGTACAAAAAGAACGAGTATAACAAGCCTTTGGTTAGTTTTTCTGGGTATAATCATCACGGGGAAACAGTTATCTTTACGTGTGCCTTAGTATCTGATGAGAACACAGAAACATATAAGTGAGTTCTAGAAACTTTTAGTGAATGCATGTTTGGTAAACATCCTAAGGCAGTTGTCACCGATGGAGATGGTGCGATGCAAGAAGCGATTAGGACAGTGCAAGCTCCTTTCATAGGCTTTGTTTTTTGCATCTTCACAAAAATGCATGTGATAATGTTAAAAACTCACGTTTTCTAGAAGATCTTAATCCTCTAATTTATGGTAACTTTAGCCCCGATGATTTTTAAAGCAGGTTAATGAACATGGAGTCGCCAACAACTGGGTTAAGAAAGTTTATGACATGAAGATGATGTGGGCAAGTGCATATATGCGTGACAAGTTTTTTGCTGGTATTCGAACAACCTCCATCTGTGAAGGAATTAATTCATTCATTAAGCGGTATGTTCATAACAAAAACAGCCTTGTGGATTTTATGCATAATTTTGAAAGAGCCGTAAAGTATAGACAAAACAGATTAATTTCATATTTTGAATACTTGTATACCGACCCTTTGTTGATTCCGTACCGAGTAGTCTTATTTGCCAAAGATGGACAAAAAAAGCTAAACTTGATTCCATGTCCTCAATTGATGGTAATGGTGATGATTCTGAGTTATCCAACTTGGATATGTTAAGGTCTGGTGCTATCTCTGCTGCATGTAAGAGGCTCTATAGAGCGGAATCAAGTTGGACAACTCAGAATCATCACCATTACCATCAATTGAGGACATGGAATCAAGTTTAGCTTTTCTTGTCCATCTTTGACAAATAAGACTACTCGGAATGGAATCAATATTTTCATGCCTCATAACGCAAAATATGTGTGCACAAGGAATATCACGAGACTCGTACAATCGACAATCACATGCAAAATTACAGTCACCCTTATCATACATAACAATGAACTCGGCGTCTGGACTGTCGAATTTATTCATTCTGAAACAAACATTATCACCACCATGCTCAACCCTTTCAACTACATTACATATAACAACATTCTCAATCTGTTTCCTAACCTCCCAGAATTTATTCCTTGTAAAAACTTGTGAAGCCCACGACTCATAGGCATGTAGAGGAGTGGTCAACAAAGGGTCAATATAAAGGATTTAAAATCTAAAATTAATTCGTTGTGTCTATACTCCGATCCTTTACGGCTCTTTTGAAATTATGCATAAAATCTACAAAGCTGTTTTTGTTATGAACATACCACTTAATGAATAAATTAATTCCTTCATAGATGGAGGTTGTCCGAATACCGGCAAAAAAATTGTCACGCATATATGCACTTGCCCACATCATCTTCATGTCATAAACTTTCTTAACCCAATTGTTGGCGACTCCATGTTCTCTTCTTCCATCTGCTTTCAAAACCATCACGGCTAAAGTTACCATAAATTAGAGGATTAAGATTTTCTAGAAAACGTGAGTTCTTAACATTATCACATGCATTTTTATGAAGATGCCAAGAACGAAGCCTATGAAAGGAGCTTGGGAGCACTGCCCTAATCGCTTCACTCATTGCACCATCTCCATCGGTGACAAATGCTTTAGGATGTTTACCAAACATGCATTCACAAAAAGTTTCCAAAACCCACTTGTATGTTTCTGTCATCTCATCAAATACTAAGGCACACGCAAAGATAACTGTTTCGCCGTAATGATTGTACCTAAAAAAATTACCAAAGCCTTGTTATACTTGTTCCTTTTGTGCGTAGTGTCAAAAGCAACAACATCTCCAAAGCAATGGTAATCAAGCTTGCTTACACCATCCGACCAAAACAAGTTATCGAGTCTCCCCTCTTCTGTAGTTGTGAACTTGGAAAACATAAAATTATCACTGTCTGCTTCGGCTTGGAGATAAGATAAGAGTTAATGACCTATATAGGACTAAAATTAGTTTCATGTGCACAAATAGGACTAGAAACGTAATTGATGTTTCGTAAGACTTAAAAGGGTCTGTTTTTCCAATTTTATCCTTGACGTCTAATTAGCTGCTTCTAAAAGACCTGAGCCACCCTATCAGCAGCCGCATGCAGCCGCCCTCGTCGGCGTTGCCTGCCACCGCCCTTGCCAGCGCCGCCTGCCACCGCCCTCGCCGGCACCGCCTGATGCCACCCCTGTTGGCACCACCACCCTCCACCACCAGCACCATAAATTTGGCAGATTTATGTTGGAAGATTAACACAAAACTACCATAAATTTGGCAAAAATATTCGAAAATAAAAAAATGGAATAAGCACGTTACCACAATCGGAATTTAGAAAACGAAGCTAATGACATAAAATAGAAAAACCATTACACAAATGCATTTTTGCCATCATGCTATACAAATTTATGCCATAAACTTGGCAAAATCTGAAGACATGTTCTAACCCTATGCAATTGTTGAAGACTATTTTATTGTGTATCAAGTTTGTCATACTTCTTGTAATAGCTTAACCTTTACTATGCCTTTAATGTAATTATACTTTGTATTTAGTAGGGTGGTAAAGGATATGGAGCCAAAGTGTCAAGCTCATATATCTGGCATAAAGCCTTACGCAAACCTGCCTGCGCATGCATATATATATATATATATATATATATATATATATATATATATATATATATATATGCACGGTTTGTGTTAACTTTGGCATTAGACCTTTAAGCTTTAGCGCTCACATCATTCTGAAAAGGTTCACGGTATATCAAAGAAGGGTTTCAACGATCTTCATATTATTTATCATTCTGTGATTCTCATCTTTGATGTATCAATATATTGTTGTTAGATTAGTTTAATCTCTAAACAGGGACCAACAAATGGTATCAGAGTCGAGGCGTGAAAAAGATTGAATCTATTTAAAAAGTGTTTGGCCTCAAAAAAAATCATTTCAATGCATGGAACAATGCTCCCCCTCGAATGATGCAAGGAAAAAAATACACACACATGCAACACACAGACTATTTTGTTCCTTTTTTTATTTTCTCCCCCTTGACGCACGCAACTCACAAATGCAACACATACTCTTTTTGTATTTTTTCCAATTTTCTCCCCCTCAGCACATGCAACGCACACACACTATTTTTGTGTTTTTCTGATTTTCTCCCCCTCAACACATGCAACACACGCACACTATTTACAAGTCACACACACATTTTTGTACAGACCAGTGGAGACAAAATCAACACGACTCGAGGTTCAACATGCCTAACTTTGAGACTAGGAACTGGAATCTCTTTTTTCATTCAGTGCCTTTGTAAACAAGTCAGCCAGTTGAAGCTCAGAGCTTACAAAATACATATCAATATCTCCTTTCTCCATGTGGTCCTTGATGAAATGGTAGCGCAGGTCGATGTGTTTGGTGCGGGAGTGGTGAACAGGGTTGCTGGTGATGGCAATTGCACTTTGTGAATCAATGTAGATCGGGATATGGCGGAACGTGTAACCGGAGTCTTTCAACTGAATCTTCATCTGGCAGCCTTGACATATTCTGCCTCAGCTGTAGATGTTGACACACAGTTCTGTTTCTTGGAAGACCAGCAGACTAACTTCTCACCCAGAAATTGAGCACCTCCCGATGTACTTTTTCTGTCTATTCTGCAACCCCGCAAAATCAGCGTCCGAATATCCAACAAGGTCAAAACCTGAATGCTTGGGATACCAAAGGCCTAAGTGCACAGTGCCTTTCAGATATCTCAAGATCCTTTTTACAGCCGTCAGATAAGATTCTTTTGGGTTCGCTTGGAAACGAGCAGACAAGCATGTGGAAAACATTATATCAGGAACTGGTGAAGTTGAAGCGGGTGGGGATGGAGGAGATGAAGGTTGTGAATTCTTGTAGAAGTATCTGAAAAGAGAATAAAGAATCACACCTTCAGGTACAGTGTTAGGATCGTCTTCATCAGAAGCCTGTTGTACAAAAGGAGTCGAAGCAGCCTGTAAGTATTCTGTTGCGAAGTCTGCCATTTCATAGAATGCAACATTCAAACTCTCAATGACAGTTCGCCTGTCTCTCAAGTATACTATGTAAACTTTTGACTGTAAGGAATTGTCAATGAACATGTCTTCTCTGGCTTTTGGGTCAAGCTTACTTCTCTTAGTTCGATCGTTCAGAACAAAACACTTGCAGCCAAAGATCTTGAAGAATGAGATATGTGGAGTTCCGTTGAAAAGAACTTCGTAAGGAGTCTTGTCGAAGCGCTTGTGAATGGATGTTCTGTTTTGTGTGATACACGCAGTATTGATTTCTTCTGCTCACATGAAATGAGGCAGTTTGGATTGAATGAGCATGGTGTGTGCTGCTTCGACAAGTGTTCTGTTCTTTCTCTCAACAACTCCGTTCTGTTGAGGAGTTTTGGTTGCAGAAATTTGTTGTGTGATACCTTGAGATTCGTAGATATCAGTGAGAATTTGATTCTTGAACTCAGTACCATTGTCTGTTCTTGTGACCCTGGTGTTCCAGATAACAGGTCCCCGTCACCACCAAATCAACCAACTCCAACCACTCCTCCATCACAGGCAATGCACGATGAACTCGAGAATTTTATTATACACGACAAGTGGCCTAGACAATGGACGAAGTGGGATCAGATTCAACAAGATGAACAACAATATGAGATGCAAAGGAGCTGGTACATACGGGAATTGATCGCTAAATGCGCTGCAGACATAATCAGGCTTGATGAAGAGGAACTCAAGGAAGGGGAAGATTATAAAGAAACTCCCAAGAAATTCGAATCAGTGATTAGACAAACAGCGGGATGACTTCCCAAGAATGAGAAACCCTAGGAGAACGTGTGAATCAAAGCTCATTTCCAAGAGGAACTCAGAAAGCGTATATGGCGTAAACCGGAGAAGGTCAGACCTCTAAATGAGATAAAGATGCGTGGACTTACTCATCTAAAAGGAAAACAAGTGGGAGGTCACCTACATATGCTAAGTCATCGATCAATAAGGCCTCAACGAGAAGTTTTGGAAAGAGATCTAAAGTCAAGTACACATCCAATACATTAGATTCTACAGGTCAAGGCTGAAGATCATCATGGCATCAGACTCTACTCCTACAAGTTTCAGCGCATTGATCGAAGCAAATTTGTATGTCAGGAAAATGACTTCATCATGCTCAAAATGGATGACATATATCATATATTTATGACATACAGATTCCTACCAATCAGAAACAATCAAATATAAAGAGAAGGCTTCGAAGCGATTAAGCGTTTCATGCTTAGACAAGTCTGAGTTAACGCTTCTCACGACTTTCAAATGGCTCTCGAGAATAACATTCCAAAAGCAAATCTATCACAGCCAAAACTGCATGGCCCCGAGCTTGAAGACTTTCCTGCTTATCACATTTTTTCACTCCACCTGCAGTCATCTATCTGAATCACAAGGACGAAAAACGCCTGATGGTGGTTAACGAGATCCACAAATATTGTGATGGGACCTTAAGAATTAGTCAAGAGAAGTTGCGGGCAACAAAGGAAGAACTTGAACAAAGACTTGTGGATGCATCATCATACACTCTAAAGGAGTATGACGTGCTAACAATCATTCTGAAAGCCATTGACGAACGCCTCGAAAAGAGAAGGATTCTCGGGGAATATGAGCATGCACTAAATATGAGGAAACACTACTTTAAAGCTCGGAAGGAAAAGCAAGACGACACTTGATCACAAAGGGGGAGATTGTTGAAGACTATTTTATTGTGTATCAAGTTTGTCATACTTCTTGTAATAGCCTAGCCTTTACTATGCCTTTAATGTAATTATACTTTGTATTTAGTAGGGTGGTAAAGGATATGGACCCATATATCTGGCATAAAACCTTTACGCAAACATGTCTGCACCTATATATATGCGCATAAGGCTTAGGTTTGTGTTAACTTTGACATTAGACCTTTAAGCTTTAGCGCTCACATCATTCTGAAAAGGTTTACGGTATATCAAAAAAGGGTTTCAACGATCTTCATATTATTTATTATTCTATGATTCTCATCTTTGATGTATCAATATATTGTTGTTAGATTAATTTAATCTCTAAACAGGGACCAACAGCAATTGTAAACTATCTACCTGTGCTTTAATGCCGTCACTAATGCTTCTGTAAGTTGGCATTAAATGGACATACTCTAATGGGTCATCTCATGATTGTGAGTATCCTCGAAATCAATAATCATCCATTTTCTTGTATGATTATCGAACTCTGTGCGAAGTCGTGCCATACAATTGGTTCGTGTGATAGGCTTTGGCTCCCTAACACGATCGTTCCTTTCCATGTGCTTCTTACTTCTCAATCCCTCCCGATTGCAAACCAAATTTCTCATTATTTGATTTATTATTTGACTCGCGACGCACATCATCTTTTATAACAGAAAAGCCATTAATTTGGGCATAACAAGAATAAAAGTCATAAACTTCATCCTCTGAATCAAATTTGAGTCTCTTAATATCAGCAAGGGTCAAATCAGAATATTATTTATAACCCTCTGCTAATGCCCTTCACCATCAAAATTACTACCATCATTCAGACTTTTACCTACCTCTTCATTAAAAATGACTTGGACTTCTTCACAATGCTCTGACATTTTCAAATGACTGGAAAAAGGACCTGGAGAAGAAAAATATGATTCATTATAAAAATAAAAATAAAATCTATAATAAGACTGTTGATTCAACATATTCTGTGAAAATGACTGCTGATTCAGATTCGGAAATATAAGATTTCAAAAGGGAAGCAATGGCTTACTAAGTATAAGAAATAAAGTACTTTGTGTTCCGGGATCATTCTTTGCTCAGGAGAGATTTCAGTTAAATCAAGTACTTTGTTAAATCATCAGTGTCATCCAGGATCATTCTTTGCTGACGAGAGATTTCAGTTAAATCAAGTACTTTGCTCAGGATGTTAAATCAAGTACTTTGTAACTCTAGCAAACCATCAGTGTCATTCAGGATCATTCTTTGCTCAGGAGAGATTTCAGTTGCCCATTTTCAACGGCATTATAGAGATCAACAGATCCACTCATCCACCAACATGTGTGATCTATACATTTATAGATACATAATAGACTCAGGGAGTGTGTGGGTCAGTCAAGTAGAACGTTAGCTGCGCATAAATATATCTTTTACGGTGAGTAGTTCCATCCTCCTACCAACCTCGTTTCCTCTTTTATTTTCCAAAATAAGCTTTTCTATTGCCAAACATTTTCAAAATACAAAATGGAAACACTAATTCTATGGAAAAAACGCTGGACTAGGACTAAAACATTGGGCTAGGAAACCGTATAGGACATCTGATTTTTAAAACCAGAACTTACTTGACTCATATTCATCATGTCCTAGTTGTGTTTGTGATTGTCTGTCAATTTACTTGGTTTATGTTTAATTGTTTGGTGTGCTCTTGCTGCTAAGTTTTATGGTTGCCAAAATCATGAGTTATATTTTAGGATTCGACAAGTGAGACTGTGCTGACCTTTTTTTTTTGAAAGAATGAGTCTGTATTGACTTGTTTTTTAGTTTTCATAAGAACTGGGAGCGGTGACTGTGTATAGCTTTTTAAGTGGGGTACATTCTAAATTACACAAATTCAATTATATCTTTTCCTCCGAACTTTGTTTGGTCTAGTTAGGTTTCTCATTCACTAGAATTTTAGTCATATGACAATTTTTTATCTAATGGTTATGTCATTTGATGTCTTTTTATTGTGCTGTGGTGGTACCAAGAACTTAAAACAGAAATATTATTATTGTAATTTTTAATTTACACACATATACAGAGTATATGTATCATAGTTATTTACTATGTTGGACAATATTCTGACTTATCACCATAAATGATTGCCAAATGCCAGTGACTAGTTATCTAGTTTTGTGCATTTGTTTAATTTTCATACTGCTATGTGGTATGAATCTACCTCTGATCTAAAAGGCTTCAAAGTTAGTTGTGACAATGGCTGTAGGGAGGAAACAACCAATAGTGTCTCTAGCTCCTAACCCTCCAGCCCTCATAATATCATCAAGAGTTATCTCAGCTTCCATATAAGTTGGGGAAATGATTACTAGATTAAAACAAGACCATGTTAGTTCAGTTTGGATTTGTTTGTTTTTTAACTGAATTCTGATCTGATGCTCCGTTTGTTATATTTTGTTTTATCCCAATTATCCTAGGTTGGTGTTGTTGACTTTAGATCAACTTATACGAACTACTCACTAGGATGAAGACCAACGGAGTAGACTCTTTTGAGACTAATAGTCATCAATTGTGTTGTTCATATGTGTATCGATAAAAAGTTTCTTTTGAAGAGTAAGGTAAGCTTTAGTTCCGGGTAAATTTTTTCTTTGACCGACAATATGGCTATAAGACCTGGGTTTTTTAGCTGCTATTTTATGGATAAATTAATAATTAATTGGCAACATTTAATCAAGAGAATCATATACATTTCATCTGATTTGTATGATAATGGGGTATTGGTGTGAATCATTATCAGTTCTACATTCTGGTGCAAAAGTTGCAAACTTCATAAACAACTGTGACCTGCAATTTATTTACAAATACACTCTTGAAAGTTTAACAGGAAACATACTCCGTATATGAATATGATATGAAGTTAAGCAAAAACACAGCAATTAATGGAACCCAATTAAATTGCAGCAAATGCAAATAGTGATAAATCAAAAAGTTCAAGGTCATGACTTTTTAAGGGCTATCAAAAGCTTCACCAGTTTCAATTCATCCTCATATTTTTAAAATTCTATTGTTTAGTATTAATCTCAGATTCACAATAGTATTAATAAGAATGCGATTGGTGATTAGTGAGTATCAATCCCATTGTGTTGAATCAATTCCAATATCCCATTGGCGGTTTTAAGTACTAATAGTCTAAAACCAGAAACCATGCAATCAAGAACTGAAAAAATAGTTCTGAAAACAAATTAATCATAAAACAAAACAGAAACAACAAAAATGCTAACTAGAAACCAGGCATTCAATTACGGAACAATAAGAAATTGTTGCTTATCAAGAAAAAACAAAAGAAGAAGAAAATCACTGCTGCCAAAACAGAAATAAGCAAAACCAGAAACAGAAAACATGCTTATTTGACACAGAAAACAAAAGCTTATTTGGACAAATAAGCTCTGAGATTAAGAGCTTGTAAGTAAACCCCCACATCTTTCTCAAGTGAATCCCTGAATTCGATGTGATGAATAAACCAAGTACATACCGAATTTCTTAGAATTTGCTCAAGAGAAACCTTCCAATGCTCTAAAATCTCAATTGATTGGGCTAAGTTCGTTGAGACTGTGAAGCCCGTTACGAAACTTGTCGCGGTTGCTATACTCTTCCGCAATTATGCTCCGGCAGCGAGGGAGCGAAGGAAACGGCTATGTGTCGTCGGTTGCAATGAAGAGGAAGCTGCCGTTTGGGTTGCTGTGGATTGGGTTGCGAAGGAAACGGCTGTGTGTTAGGATTGTACCCGATCCTACCCGACCCTATTTAATAACGTATTTATATCCTGCAATAACTTTTTTATAGCGCATTCCATTATTTTTATCCTGCAATAACTTTTTTATATGCATTCCATTATTTTTTATTTCTTTTATTGTTAAAAATTGTAATAATTTTTTTATTTGATATCCGATATTTATAAATTTTATATCAAATTTTTTTATTTTTCATGATCCATCAAATGAGACCAATATTGCTTATGTAATTTTAACAAATTATTTTGACGTTACATTTGATAATATATCATGAAGTTACATCTTCTTCTGCGCGAGTTAATCTTATTGTACGCGAGTTACATCTTAATATACGCGAGTTACATCTTAATGTATGTGAGTTACACCACGAAATAAATCTCTGCTACATCTTTCATTTTTATCATTTGAAAAATAGTGTATGAATATGAAATACAATATACTTATTTTATGTGGATTAATAAAATTTTGTATTAAATTGGCAAAGAAAAAAATTAATTCAGTTATAATTGAATTAGTTCAAGATAAAGATAGGTAAAAAATCACAAATAATCAGATATAACTCACGCATAATTACATGTAACTCGCGCATAAAAGTATGTAACTCGTGCATAACAAGATGTAACTCACACATAACAAGAGGTAATTAACTCACACATAATTACATACATGTAACTCGCGCATAAAAGTATGTAACTCGTGTATAACAAGATGTAACTCACACATAACAAGATGTAACTCACACATAATAACTTGTAACTGGAGTATAAGATGATGTAACTTCGTGTATTATCAAATGTAACTCCAAGCTAGAAGCAAAATAAACAAACTCAATATCTTAAAAACCTCTCAAAACATATAAAAGTGATAAAAAATATATATTATAGAAAAAGTGTATGCATATAAAAATATATTACAAAAAAATGTATGAATGTAAAAAATTAAAATACATAGGCAATATTGGTCTCATTTGAAAGATCATGAAAAATAAAAAAAAAATGATATAAATTTTATAAAAAATGGATCAAAAATAAAAAAAAATATTAACAATTTTAAGAAAAGGACAAATAAAAAATAACAAAGGGTGCATGGTGCTCACCATGCACCGTTTCCACGGTATAAGCACTGAATGGGTAGGGTTGCGGAATTAAAATCTCAAACCCGATAGTACCCAACCCGCCGAATTTCATTTTAATATTATTATGCTACGATGTTTTCTTGAATAATTTTAATTTAAGACTAATGTGCTCTATCTAGGACTTTATGATATTAGAATTATAGCTAAACATTTACCATTTTGACTAGGTGATTTTTATATATTTATGTTTCCTTCTAGATGAACTTCTTTTGTGGATGGATGTTTTAATACTATTACCTAATGTTTTTCCTTATAAAAGATACGAGTATTTGTATTTATTTGTGTGTTATGGAAACAAGTTAATCGAGTTTTAAATTAGTTACATTAATTACCCACATGAAAGATGCAATCCAAAACGATTTTTTTCAATACCCGACCCTACCAGACTCGTTCATACATGGTTTACCAACTTATTTTGCGTACTGCGGGTTGATTAATAGCCAATCCGAACAAAACGGGTAGGCCCAAGAAATATAGCAAACCCGGCCCAACCCACCGGATGTGCAGCCCTACGGTGGATAGTAGGTAACTTGGGACCTCCGTTAAAGCTATTTCCGTTTATCACGTAAGGATTGAAGTGCAAATTTTGCTTCCTAAATTGCAGTTGGTATACCGTGGGAGCAGCCCGTGGTGAGCATGGTGCTCCCACAGCTAATTAACGCGTTAACAGTAACACGCGTTAACGGTAACACGCATTAACAGTAACTTTTTTTTGTTCTCAGTAGTAGAGTGATGTAACTTGTGTGTAATGAGATGTCACTCACGTTAATATGCAATGTAACTGCAGGCAAGTTGCGATGTAACTTTTCTAATACGGAGAAGAAGAAATAAAATATTGATTTCAATGTAAACAATGAAAAAAAAGTAGTCTAATTGCTCAATTACTTTACATAAGTAGTGGATATGTTTTTTTAATATTAAAGTCATACTTTTTTTGGAATATCTTTTTTTTGCCAAAAAAACATTTTTTGCAAAAAAAAAATGAATTTTTTGTTTCAATAGTTGGGTTTATTTTGGTATGTAACTAGTGTTATGGAAAATGTAACTCATGTTGATGAGAAAATCTAACTTAGGTGTATGCAAAATGTAACTTGTTGAGGCAAATCAGTGTAACTCGCGCACAAAAAAATGTAACTCGTTCATAAAAAGATATAATCCATATGATATCAAATGTAACTATAGAATTTGTCTATAAACATAACTCACACATATGAAAAATGTAATCTCACGGTTTTTCTAACTTAATGTCTTTAAAAGGCAAAAAACATATAAAAAGATAAGAAATATACTTCGCATTATGCAAAAAAGTGCATGAATATATATATTTTTAAAAAATATATATATATATATATAAATGTAAAAACATTACAAAAAAAATAAATCTGGTAGTAATTTTAGTTGAAGGAAAAAAGTAAAAAGTAGTGTATGATTATGAAATACAATATACTTATTCTATGTGGATTAATAATATTTTGTAATAAATTGGTACAGAAAAAAATTATGTAATTTAATTAGTTAAAGATAAGGATAAGTAAAAAATCACAAATACTTAGATGTAATTCACGCATAAGAAGATGTAACTCACGCATAAGAAAATGTTACGCATAATAAGATGCAACTTGATCATAAAAGATGCAATTTCATGATATATTATCAAATGTAACTTCATGAATCAAAATAAACAAATTCAATGTTTTAAAAACCTCTCCAACATATAAAAGAGATAATATATATATATATATATATATATATATATATATATATATATATATATATATTATAGAAAAAGTGTACACATATAAAAATATATTACAAAAAATGTATGAATATAAAAAATATATTACAAAAAAGTGTATGAATATAAAAAATATTACAGAAACAAAAAAGTGTGTGAATATGAAATGCAATATGCTTATTTTATTTGGATTTATAAACTCTTTGTTATGTATTGATAAAGAATTAAAAAAATAGATTCAATTATAATTTAAGATGAAGATAAAGAAATGTAAAATTGAAATTAAATTATTAGTAATTTAATTTGATGAAAAAGGGTAAGAATTGAACAAAAGAAAAATAGATAAAGGAAAGGAAAAGGAAATAACAAAGCTCCAAACAAAGGAAGTGCAAAAAAACGTAAGTTTCTGTAAAGTGGGATCGGCACACCATGCGGAAGGTGGACCGATCCCACGGTATAATTTGCCCTTAAATTGAATGTTGGGTCACCATATTGACCACATAAGCAGGTCACCGTACTCTAGGAATCAAATTGGGCACTGTAGAAACCACCAAAAATTAATACTGTACTACGTATATTTATAAAAAGTAGTCAATATTCAATACATTGTATAATTCATATTTGACTCAAAAACTAAAATACAGGTAAAAAAATTATATTTAATATAGTGATGCATTGGAATTGGAGGTTTTCAAAATTAGGAGCACATATTGGGAGCGCTTTGTAACTTGTATAAGCGTGTCTAGTTGGATGAAGTATATACAAGCCCGACACTTTTTTCTAAACGCGCCTCTATGTATGCGCCTCAATAGGTCAATTTCCTAGTAGTGGATGTTCTTAATGTGGTTCAGAATTTAAAAAAGAGCGAGGGATCATCGTATGTTCACTTGATTATTGATGACATTAGGATGTTGTTGGAAATAAAGAGTAATTTTGATATCTCTTTTTGTGGAAGATCTGTGAATAATGTTGCTCATGCTTTAGCACGAGCACATGATACTATCTTTGATCAGTGTGTTGATTATGATTCTGTTCCTGATTGTATTTCTAGTCGAATGCCTAACGATTTAATGATTTAATGATACCTTGGTTTTGACGATCAAAAAATAATGCGTTCAATTTTATTAAAAATGAATTTCGCTGTTGTGGACTTTATTAAATTTAAGTTTTTTACATTGTAATGTTCTATTTTAAAAATCACAATAATTCGTGTTTCAAAAAGGTGAATTATTATTAATAATGTGGTATACACGATGTACCAATCCCTCTACCTCTTATAAAATAGTGTGTATTTGTACTCTCTCTTTTTCTTTCTTGCAATGCATCATTTTTCCTTTTTCATGGCTTCTTCTTCTGTATTTTTCTTTTCTTTTATTATTTTCTCTTTCTCCATCAAAATACTAAAATTTAATTTTAATTTTATTTTTCATTATTTTCAATTTAAATTACAACTCAATCTATTTTTTATTATTTTTCAATAGTTCATAAAAAAATTAATCTAAATAAATAATTATATTGCATTTCATATTATTACATTGTTTTTTATGTAATACTTTGTTCGTTCCTTAAAAGTTGCAACATTGTGATTTATTCACTATTCACACATCTTACTTTAACAACGATTTTTTAGTAATGTATAAAATCAAATTATTATGTATAAAATCTTATGGAGTATCAAGTTTCTATTAATATGAATTTCCAAAATATTAACTTTTTATAATGTTTATTAATATGTGATTAAATATCATTACAGTCAAAGTTGTGCGTTGGCAAATATGAAAGTCAAATTGTTGCAACTATAAGAACGGATGATAGTATTTTTTTTTATTCATGCACTTTTTTGTAATATATTTTTTCATATTCATGCACTTTTTGTATAATATATTTTATCCTTTATATATTTTTAGTGGTTTTTTAAGGCATTGAGTTTGTTAATTTCAATTTAATTGTACTAAAACATGATATTACATTTTCATATGTGTGGTTTACATTTTTAGATGTGTGATTTACATCTATACATTATTACTGGAGTTACATTAGATAACGCGTGCAATTACATCTTTTTACACGTGATTTACATCTTCATGTTTCTACGTCGTACTCGGTTGAAAT